AGAAATAATTATTAATAAAACCAAATAAGTTATATCCAAAACTAGAAATCCATCATCACAGCTCAAATCTAGATGATGTTCATTGCTTGCATTCACTGGATTTGAAATGTAGTTGTCATCTTCAAAATTTTGTTCTAAAGTCCAATTACCATATTCTCAACATTAAGCTATTGCATTAAAGTCAAACCTAATATCTTCTTTGCTTTTGAGTCATGAATTACAGGAATGATGAATTTATATCTCATATGTGGGGGAGTTTAATTTTAAATTTCGTTTCTAGATGTGTAGTCTGTGGGTTGTTGTTAAGTAGTTATTGATGTGATGTGAAATTTTGCTATGATAGTTATTTTCCCACACTTTGCATTTAGGGGTAGGTAAGTATTTGTACTCAGTGTTGAGTAGTTGCTAACCCAAGAATCTAGGCCCTGTCTTTACTGACCTCTTACTGTGATATGGGTATATTGAGTATGAGGTAATTTTCAGATACCTTTAAAGTGAAAATACACTTTGTAAGCTGGTAATTATGGCACATTTCCTTTGATCATATTAATTTGGTGCCATATTTTTTTTTTTAAAGATTTTATTTATTTATTTGACAGAGAGAGACACAGTGAGAGAGGGAACACAAGCAGGGGGAGTGGGAGAGGGAGAAGCAGGCTTCCCGCTGAGCAGGGAGCCCGACGCGGGGCTCGATCCCAGGACCCTGGGATCACGACCTGAGCCGAAAGCAGACGCTTAACGACTGAGCCACGCAGGCGCCCCTGGTGCCATGCTTCTTTTGAGTTTGGAATGTCTATGCTACTGTTCGCAGTTTTCTCATTACTCTTCTCTATCCATTTGAAATTAGCGTTTTGAAAGCATTTATTTTTTAGCTTCACTTGGCTTACAGGGTTCTCTCAGCCTAAAACAATGCTTTTTTTTTTTTTTTTAAGATTTTATTTATTTGTCATGTCAGAGAGAGAGAGACCACAAGCAGGGGGAGCGACAGGCAGAGCAGAAAGAGGGAGAAGTAGGCTCCCCGCTGAGCAAGGAGCCCGATGTGGGACTTGATTCCAGGACCCTGGGATCATGACCTGAGCCAAAGGCAGACGCTTAACCAGCTGAGCCACCCAGGCATCCCTAAAACAATGCATTTCTTGGTAGTGGTAAGATCTAAATGGCAAAATACCCAAGTGATTACACAGCAGTACCTGCCTGTAACAGGGATAATTCCGACGAGCCTGATGCTAAGAAAATCTCCTACCTGAGGCCTGAGACTCCCCTGATGCTGGGGCACAAAGGCTTTACCTTTTCATGGAAAGCAGTAGGGAGTAATATCCTGTGACTGTGGTATAGTTTTTAGCAACACATGGTCAAGTTTTGTGAGCCTCTTTCCAGAGATTGGTTGCCTGTCTGCATCAAGTAAGGAGAACATGCAATGTCTGCCTATCTGCATAGGTTAGGAACCATGCTTGCTTGCTTTTTATGATTTTAATTATTGAATAAGAGAAATTTCTTCTTCAGTGACCCAAAAGAAGTAAGAGTTGTTACTGGATATATTCATGGGCCCATAATTTTTGACTTTGGGAAATCAATTAAGGGGGTCAGAATTTCATTTCTGGCAGAAGTGGTTCAAGAAATATCTGTCAAGTTTCTTGACAATCTATTTCATAGGAAATACAGGAAGTGCGAAATCCTTCCGTTGATGTGTGTCTCTTGATTTTCTGCAGTTCCCTTCTTACTGTGTTAAATAATGGATGATCTTGCCCTGAGATAAATGACATCTTTTTTTTTCCAGTTTTCTTGAAAAGAATTGACATACATCACTGCATAAGTTTAAGATTACAGCATGGTGGCTTGATTTACATATATTGTGAAATGATTACTGTAATAGGTTCAGCTAACACCCATCTTCTCATGTAGACACAATATAAAGAAGAAAAGGAAAAAGGAAAAAAATTTCTCTTTGTGATGAGAACTTAGGATTTACTCCCTTAAGTTTTCTATATATCGTATATCAGCGTTAGTCATTGTGCACATTACATGGAAAGGCATCCTTAATTGTGGCAATCCTTATTATAGCTTTGTATTTTATTTTTATAAGAATTTTATTTTTATAAAAATAAAATATGCATTTATTTTAAATAATACATTATATATTATAAATTTATAAAAATAAATATAAAAATATAAATTATATATATTATAAATTATACAATTATAAATATTTATATACTTATTTTATTATAGTTTTTAAAATTATTGTCAGAAGACTCCTACGGTTCTACAGACCAGATTAATATGTTTAGCTTTCAACATTGAGATTGTTGTGTTTAGGCATAGTGTACAAAGAAAGTAATATTTTATGACTAATGCCATATAAAAAATTCTGCTAGTTGAATATCAATAGTCCATTCCCATGACAAGAAAATCTGACCAAATTCCAATTAAAAGAAATGTACTTACATGGCATCAAATGAAACATGTTCACTTGGTATTTTCATTTGTTTCTTAAATATAGGGCTTTAAAGCTTACAAATGGCCATCTCATAATAGACTTCCAAAAATATATACACTTTGATAATTTGTATCCAAATCTTTTCAAATATCACATTCACCTTTGGTGTAGGAATTTTCTGCCCCTAATAGCCCATTGTCTGACATTTTCATTCCCAGAGGAGCAGAGTGTCTAAGAGTATAGCCTCTGGAATCAGACTGCCTGGGTTTGAATCCTTGCTCTGCTGCTTACCAGCTGTGTCCATGAGCAAATTTCTTAATCTCTCTGAGCCTTTGTCCCCTCATCTGTAGAATGTTGGTAACTATAATAGCACCTCTATTATAGAGTTGTCGTGAGGCAGAGTTAATACAAGGGAAGTCCTTAGCACAGTACCTGTCATATTGGGCTCCAAAAGTGGAGCCACTGTTATTTAACAATTTATGCTTAAAATCAACCTAAAGTGCATTTTTAGTTTTACCATCTTATTTTTTTCTTATGTATCATTGACAGTGATCCCTTATTTGAGGGATGGGTAACCTTAAAAACATTTTTTATTAAAATATGTTGCTTAAGAAAAAAAAAGATAAAATAGATATGTAGCTTTGTGAAAACCATAAGAAAATCTTGTTTTTTTATTTGATGGATGTTCCTGGTTATCGAATTTTAGTCAGCTTTGTTTTCCCAGCCTTTCAGAGAAATAGGTAGATCTAAATTTACCTTTGTAGATCTATAAGTACCATTAAGTGATAAATTTAGACAACAATTATGTTTTCAAGTAGATAAATTACATTAATACCTGGATGTATTTTTGTCATAGTGATATAATACAACTTATACTACAAGGTGAATGAAAGACAGATTTGACATATTGCTTTGCCCACTTTTAGTTGAGGCATGACAGTCTGGAGATAATGACAAAAATATAAATGCCCAAAATAAAACCATTAGAATTTCTATGCTTTTCTGTCGCTACCAGTCCTTCATTTGTAATAGATTGCTCTTCAACTATTTGTGTTAAAAGTAACTCTTCTTGGGAAATATTTACAGTTCATGTTGGGATATGACTTGCATTTTGAATTTTCAGTTAACTAACAAATATACTTGTAAACTTTGAAAACAAGTTCTGCTTCAGCAGTGAAAATTGTAATTTGATGTTTGTCAATTTGCAAAATAAAATGCATTTATAAACACTCCACAAATTTTTAATAATATTGTTAATGTCAATAAGAGGAAAGGGATTTTGAATACAAGTAATGTAGAACTGTTCTTGTTTATGAAAGCCAAATCATAAGGTCTTTAACAATTGGCTCTTTATTTTCCTTTTCAATTTATTGCAGTTTGTTTTTGCTGTTTTGGACCACTAGGCAGCATCAGATCATATTACTAAAACTTGTTTACATTAGCAACAAGCTAACTTGATTTTATTACCAGAATATGGATTATGATTTCCAACCAATTATTAAAATGTCGATGGTTTTCAAATAATCAACTTTGTCTTTAAGGTTTTGGGTTTGTTTTTTAGGTTATAGTTATATGCAGGATAGAAAGTGTATAAAAATATTAAGCAGAGAATAAGAAAAATAATTTCTGTACAAGACAGAAAGGAATACTTAAGGTTGCAGGAGTGTTGGACCTGTTGGTGCCATGTAGAATAACATGTACCAGGCCATAACTTTGGGGAGTATTTCTGAATTTTGACTGGCATACAAATGGAATTTAAAGTTTCATAAAAAGCTCCCTGTGGCCAAAATAATGTATTTTTCACCTCTACAATTCACAATAACTTGTGTGAAAACTTTCATACTAAAACTACAATAAAAACATGTACCTGGAAATGTCCAATGAGTGTGAGTAATGCTGTAATCCCTGCAATTATGACTTTAATTTGGGTGAACACTGGGAAAAGTCTGGCATGACCCCTCACACACACACATACACACACACACACACACGCCCCGAAAACATAGATAAAATATTCCTCATATTGGTCAAAATGGATTATTGCTGCTACCCTTTACTCTCCTTCAGATGTCATTTAACTTTTTTCTACAGTTATACTTAAGCATTTCAGAAGTGTAAACAAAATTTACTTTTGAGGCTCTTATTTCAAGGGTATTTTTGGCTAGACTGTCATCCATGTTAGCAACGGAATATGGAGCAGAGCCTTACATCTTTTAAAATATATTTTCACAAGACTTTGAAGCACACTACGAGGCTGTTTCATTTTGTAAGTGCAGAAACCAAGGTCTGGGAGAGTGACTGCCCAAAACGCAGCTGGTAGCTGGCTGCGCCCAAATCCCGAAGCCAACCGCCAGGTGCAGGTACGAGGCATGACGTCACCGGCGGTGCCAGGCGGCGGCTCCGAGAGCTGCGGGCGTGGGCTGGGCCGGAAGCGGTGCAGCAGGCGGCTCGCCTCGCTCCGCCCCACGCGAGCCAGTCTTTGCGCCTCCCAGGCGGCGGTCAGAGGAGCCGGAGTTGGGGGGCGAGGCGCCAGCCGGCCCCGCCCCTCAGGCCGGTCCCACCCATCAGGGCAGCCCCGCTCCTCCTGCCGTGGCGTGGCCGGGCGCGGCGCAAGGTGGGCGCTGCCGGTGAGTCCCGCTTGGTGACGCCCGGCTCGGTCGGCGCCTGGGTGGGGAGGCGGAGGAGGGAAATGGGCTGATCGGCCATTACGTTCTGTCTTGTTAGCGCCAGCAGCCCTGTGGCGGAGACGACGATGGACCCAGAGCCTGCGAGCCGTGCGGAAGGAGGAGAAGCTGTTGCAGCCTCGGGAGCCGCGGCTGCCGCGACGTTCAGGGAATCGGCTCGACAGGTAAGTGCGGCCGCCGAGGGAGGCGGCGGCGCGGAGGCGGGGGCCAGGAGAGCCCCGTCTCGTGTCTGTCTCGTCCGCCGGCTGCCCTCTCGGCCTGCCCGGCCTTCCCCCGAGCAGGCCGCCCGGCGGAGATGCGTTTCGGGGCTCTTTCTCACGGTAGCCCCACCTCTGCCCAAAGACACCGGCTTGGGGGAAGGGGCGGACGCCTCCCCACAGCCGGGCGGCCCTCAGCAACCCCTCCGCTGGCCGCGCCGCAGACCGTCGGGCTTGCGGGGGTGCTGCTCCAGCTTCGGGTCTGCGAGCTAGAGAAGGAAGGCGTGTCCCCGCAAGGCTGTCCTTAGAGTAATTGGAAGCCAGGTGACGGCGGCTTCAGACACTTTCCAGCCTCTCGGTATGTGAGCGCCTGACTTGGCTTGTGCCCTTTGGTAGGCTAATAGCAACTATGTGCTGAGCGTTTACAGGCTTTATTTCACTTAATCCTAATAACTTCTGCATGATGTGGGCGTTATCCCCCTTTCACCCGCGAGGTAACCAAGGCTCGGAGCTGCCCAACAGAAACCTAATGGGAGCCACATTGTAAATTGTACGTTTTCTAGTAGCCATATTAAAAAAAATAAAAATAAATTTTCATGTTTTATTGTGTTATTAATATCTTATTGAATCTAATTTAACAAAAAACTTCAGTACTTAATGTGAAAGTTAATCATGTATTTTAGTTAATCAATGTATTTTACATTTCTCTTTTTGGTAGGAGTCTTAGAAATCCTGTGTGTGTGTTACACCTACTGCACATCTCGGTTTGAACTATTCTCATTTTATGGGAGCAATTAGCCACATGTGGCTAGTGGTTGCTGTGTTGGATAGCGTAAGTTTAGAGAGTTAGGTAAGGTTTGGAGGCTTGTTTTGTTTTGGATTTGGTAGTCTAAAGTAATAGTTTAGAATCTTTGGCCAAGTAAAACTAATGAAGAAATTGCTTTAACTGAAACCAGCTCAGGAATATACAGTTTGGGCCATAAAAAATCTGAGTTGCTCCTCTGTAGAAATCTTCCCACCTTCAGTGAAAATGAAGCCTTTTTAGTAGCTTCATTTTTGAGACTAACTACTAAAATGTTAGTAAGACATTCCCTGAAACGACAGATTCCTAAGGGACTAAATAGTGCCTGAATGTGAGTATAGCTTTTGTAGTATAAGATGTAGTTTGCATGCACAAAAACTTTTCCACATACTAGTGTTTATATGGAATTTCTTGTTTTTCTCCTACTTAAGGAGGAAAGTAACCAGCAAGAAGGAATTCAGTGGAATTCAGGGGCAACACTAATTGATTAGATTCATTTTCAGTTGAGACCTGTTGCTGACAGGTACAGATGAACTGGACCTTTAAGTCCATGGTCCTGGGTGTATTTTCCATTTAATTTTTCCTTCTGTTACTGTAATTGTTTTCACAACTGCATCAAGCTTGGAATCGCTCTAATAGCAAAGTAAACATACCTGTATTGATTTACCAGCTAAGTATTGTTTGAAGACAGGTTTTTCCTTTTGGTTTAGTGATAGTCATGTTATTTTCATATTCTTGGTTGAAAAAAATAATAGATATCTAAGTAGTAAAGGAGGCTGTTGAGCAGAAAGTAGAAAGTTATAGGAATACTCCCATGGCCAGTATCTCACATTCACCAAAAGTAAGTTTGTGTTGTAATCATTCTGGTATTTCCTGTGCATATATAATCTCTTCTTTGGTGTTAAACACAAATGGATTCATACTATACAAACTATTTTCTAACTTTCCCTTTTTGCTCTCATTCACATTCCTGAAGCAGAAACATCTCTGGGAACCCCAGATCTATGCTTTTGAGTATAGTAAGAGAAAAGAGGCCAGTGAGGTGGGGGCTTGGATGGAAGGAGAGCCTGCTGTCCATCAGTTTGTCAGAACCGAGAAATTCCAAGTGCAGTGTAGGGAAAGGAGTAAGAAATAGGAGCTTGGCTCTGTGTTTAGAATTTCACCTTAAACCAGGCCATACAGTACCTGTTGTGACATTTTATCAGGCAAGTTCTCTGACTAAACTTTTAACCAAAATCTGAGCCTCAGTATTATTAAAGAAGTTAAAATTTCAGTACTACTCATTCATTTATGTAGCACTTCTGCTACCAAGAACTTATGATGTACTAGGAACTATAGATTACAGGATATAGCAGTGAAGGATACACACTGTGCCTACTCCTCTATGTTGCTAGCTAACTAGCTGGGGAAGGTGATACAGAATAAAATCCATGATGTGTAGTACATGTTTTAAAGAAGTTCTAGGTGCTATGAAAGTGTATAAAAAGATTGCCATTAAAATCAGGCCCCAGGAAACTAGATAAAACAGATTTTCAGTCTGATGGTTAATCATAAAATTTGATAAAAAGTGAATTGACAATGCGTCTATTAATTTTCTGGTGTTAGGAACTTCTTTTTTTCAGATCTTTGGAATTTGTTAAAATGGAATTTGTAATATTGACAGTGAAATTTTTCTTACTAAGAGGTTTATTGTTTATCTGTAAAAAAGAAACATTTGCAAAATTCAGAGAATAACTTTATAATTGTTGGAAATTTTTTAACAAATTAATTTTCTAGTTGGTTTTTATCCATCAATACCTCCCTTCTCTGTTTCCCCTCTTTTATTCCCTAAGTAGAGGTCAGAATCAGATGCCATAGATTGTCTTTCACGGATTTTTTTACTTGCCAGTTTGGTTCCTTAAGATGAGGTGTTGACAGAAGTATAGCCTATGGGCCAGATCCCACCAGCCACCTGTTTATATAAAGCTTTATTTGAACACAGCTATACCTGATTATGATGTGTTGTCCATGGCTGCTTTCACAGAGTTCAGTAGTTGTGATAGAAGCTGGATGGCCTACAAAGTCTAGACTTATTTACCATCTGGCCTTTGTTTTTAAGAAAAAGTTTGCTTACTCCCATTTAAGAAGATAAACCTAAAACTTGGGTTTTACTATATCAAAAATTAATACTAAATTTTTAAAGAAAGCCCTTAAATAAAAGTCTCCTTAATAAAAATCTTTATATGAAATGTTATTAGAGCAAAGAAAATCCATTTTTAATTATATATTATGTATAGAGAATATTACTCAAAGTTTTGTTTAAACTTAACTAACTTTGGTATTGGAATGAAAAATATGAATCAAGGGATGCCTGGGTGGTTCAGTCAGTTAAGCATCTGCCTTCCGCTTAGGTTGTGATGCCAGGGTTCTGGGACTGAGTCCCACATTGGGCTCCCTGCTTAGAGAGTCTGCTTCTCCTTCTCCTGCTTGTGCTCTCTCTCTCTCTCTCTGACAAATAAAGAAAATCTTTTAAAAAAAGATAAAAATAATCATATTTCAGCCTTTACCTTTGTAGGTTTAAAAAAAATCTTTTGGAAAGAATATACCCAAGAGTGAGAGTTAATGGAGATAGTAGCTAAGTTTATACTAACTGTTATGATCCAGCTGGAATGTTTTGATTTATTAAAGTTGTCTAGGGAAGGTAAAGTAGTTGAGCCAATGAGAGATAGCCCTTCTCCTTTGCTTTTGTCTAAGGAAGGAAAAATTGAGCCAGTGAGAAGCTGCTTCTGCTCTAATGGTGGTGGAACAGATCATGGTGATGTACCCTGAAAGGTCTCAGCTCTATTCACTGACTGGAACCGTTGCTTTGGCATTAGATCCATTCAGGTAGTGTGACGACTGGAGATCTAACCCAACTTCTCTGACTTTCCCTTGCTTGTAAAGGGATCCACAGACCTGAGTAATGGTTCAGAAGGTAATGTTGATGTCAGAACAACCATAAACCAAATCTTATTTTAAGGGGAAAAATGAGATAGAGCAGGAATGGCTCACCATGTCTAGGGACGAGGTGAACTTGATGGGTCATTTTTTTTTAAATTTTAAAGATTTTATTTATTTGTCAGAGAGATGGGGTGGGGAGCACAAGCAAGGGGAGTGGGCAGGCAGAGGTTGAGAAGCAGGCTCCCCACTGAGCAAGGAGCCCGATGCGGGGCTCGATCCCAGGACCCCAGGATCATGACCTGAGCCAAAGACAGACGCTTAACCGACTGAGCCACCCAGGTGTCCCCGTGGTGGACCGTTCGTTGTTCATTTTGTTTATGGACATTATAAATGGGCTGGTCTTCCGTTGTTAAGGGCTGGGATTTGTTTGAACTCTCAAGACAGGCTAGGGAGAATTGTGGCTTTTGTTTTTTCAGGTTAATACATAGCCCATGCTGTCAAGGTTTTCGTGATCTCAGTTTGCTATACAGCAGTTATAGTTGCTGTCAGTTGATGTCTTCATGTGTCGTGGAGCAATGCATGTGTTTTTTAGGTTGGATATACCTGGATTCACATCCTGGCTAATGACTAAACTTACCTTTGGGAAGTGAAGAATAGAGAGTCATATATATTTTCTAAGAAGGAACTTAGAGGATTCAGAGGAAATACGACAAAAATGAAGTTACTTATATTTGCATAACTGGGCAATCCTAGTCCACTATTTTTATCAGTAGAATCCCATCTCTGCAACTGCAGTTCAGAGAACTTTCTTTCTTACTGGTTGAACAACATTCATGGGTTTAAATTGTATGGTCATATCCACAAGTGTTAAGAATCCTTATAGAGGACAAAATTTTTGATCTCTGGACCATCCTAGAGAATCCCACCAATGTGGACTTTAATCGTGGCAGTCCTGTAGTCCTGTATCATTTTGTTTGGTTTAGTTTTAAAATTATATACATAATACATGAACATATTCTCATCACAAAACAAACCAAACAACAAAATACAAAAAAGAGTAACAGGCCCCCATGACTACTCCCTTACCTCTACCTCCTCCCCTGTCTCAGTACCTATCCCTAGGAGTAACCACTGCTGGGTTTTTCTTCACAATTGTACTGTGCCTTTTTGAAGTATTCTAGTAAGGAGATGAAATAAAGGCTTTCTTAGGAGTTAAAACTTGAGGCAGGATAACAGTGAGAAGCTCTTTGTCCTCTCCCATAATATGCATTTACTCTCAGTTGGGAACATGGGTAAATATTTGAGGTAAAATTAGTATTTCCCTAGGAATGAAATTTGGATGTAATTAGAATTCCATAGACTATTGTACTAAAATTTGTAAAATCCTTTTACTGTCAGGAAAACTCTGTTGTCACCTATGCGTTATTGACTAAGAAATCTGAAAGCTCAGCGATAGAACACTCATGGCTTGTTTTCCAGATTTTATCTACGAATGAGTTTATTTGGATTGCACAGTGCTTTAAAACATTTTTTCAGTTTAAATGTCTTCGTTGGGGATACTTTCTCCGCAGGGTCTACCTTTCCCTATATAGTTTTGCTCACTTTCGGTGCTGCTTGGCCTTAAAAGGCATTTTAATTTGGAACTCCCGTTTTGAGAAAAGGTGAGAAGCAGAGTTAAGTTGAATGGGTTTTGCTTTGTCCACATGTAGCTAAGCCTAAATCCAAGGATTTAGGAGAGTTCCCTGCCAAGAACTGTTATTTTATTTTATGTCTCTAATATATGTATAGGGTGCATCTATATGATTTTCCTTTGATATTACACATTAATCTGTAAATAACATTATTCTTTAAAACAATTGATGTCCAGAGTGTCTTTGCGTATTATATAGCATTGGAATTGCTATGTTTTGAAGTGTGGTGCTTGATTTCTTAGCTGCTGACTTCAAAAAAGTTTATTTGGTTAAATTCTATTTTTTACCCTCAGCAGAGAGTATGTAGATGTTTGCTTTATTATTCATTAAACTCTACATTTATGTTATTTATACTCGTGTGTGTATGATGTCTTAATTTAAAAAACAATTAAGGATTGGTTTATGTTTCTTTTTTCCCTAAAATAAAGCAACCAATAATTTGCCATATGAAAGAAAATTAATCTCCCTTGAAACTCATTATCTTATTATTGTCATTAGATGAATAGTGAAAGAGGCTTTGAAAATGTAGAACTGGGAGTCATAGGAAAGAAGAAGAAGGTCCCGAGGAGAGTCATCCACTTTGTAAGTGGTGAAACAATGGAAGAATACAGCACAGATGAAGATGAAGTCGACGGCCCGGAGAAGAAAGATGTTTTGCCTACTGTTGATCCGGTAGGTCTGATGCTTTTGTCAGTAGTTTTTTATGAGACTCACACGCTGCCTACTGCTCTAAGCAGGCACAGTCACTAGTTTTCTAAATTGATTTGTTTCCTCTTAAACAGCAAATGGAAGGGGTCTTTTGAGGTTTAAATCAACTATATTTTGATTATAAAAATATGCAGTATGATTTTGGTAGAAAATAGTATTTTTACAAATATGGATGGAAATATTTCTGCATTTCAGTAGTCTGAAATAGTTTGAGTGTCAGAGTTCTTTGTCAGTGTGGTAGGTTTCTTTAAGATTTATCTTACTACATAGAGTGCTTGAATTCCAGTCCCTTTGAGCTAAGGACTATGCTGCCATAGTAGTTTCCACCTAAAATTTAGGATTTGTCAATTCTTTTCCAGATATTGCCCCGAGTTTCGATTGGAAGATAGGCGTGCACAGTTCTTAACTTTATGTGCCTCATCAGCTAAATTTAAGAATTTCTAAATTATACATGATGTAACTATAAAATTATAGGACAAGCTGTACATTCTTAAAAAGTAGTGTTGTCCTTCTAAGTAGTCTTTGGAGAGTTTAGTTGATCCATATTTACTGACTTTCTAGTAGGTACCGTTTTAGGCACTGGTGATACAGCCATGGGCAACATAAATTTTTGCTCTTGTATGCTAGTGGGCACACAGGGAATAAACACATACTATAATTATCAGACTGTAAAGTGCTATGAAGAAGGGTAGCAGGATAGAGAATTATTATTGTGTATTTGATTTAAAAAATGTTATTACTAGTATTTCATCAGATTTGGCTTTTTTTTTTTTTAAGATTTTATTTATGTATTTGACAGAGAGAGACACAGCGAGAGAGGGAACACAAGCAGGGGGAGTGGGAGAGGGAGAAGCAGGCTTCCCACCGAGCAGGGATCCCGATGTGGGGCTCGATCCCAGGACCCTGGGATCATGACCCGAGCCGAAGGCAGACGCTTAACGACTGAGCCACCCAGGCGCCTCTGGATTTGGCTTTTGATAGATTTTGGTTATTAAAAAAATATTAGATCCAGAGTCTCTACTATGGAATATATTCAAAGGACCTTGCAGTATACTCTGATGGCATTTCTAAATGCATGCAGAATATTATATAGAGGTGTTTCATGCACTGGGAGAATTGTTGGAATAAGTATTTTTCTTTTAAATTACTTTGAAGGGGTTAATTCTTATTTGTCTGTATACATTTGTATCTATCTGTATGTTTTTAAAAGTCATGGTCTCAATAGTTGCTCTCTATTACATAGAAAGTGATAAAAAAAGCATTGCATAATAGGGCGCCTGGATGGCTCAGTCAACCGACTCTTGGTTTGGGCTTAGGTCATGATCTCTGGGTTGTGGGATTGAGCCCTGCATTGGGCTCCACGCTCAGTGTGGTTCTGCTTGTCCCTCTCTCTCTGTTCCTCCCCTGCTCACATACTTTCTCTCTCTCTCTCAAATAAATAATAAATAAAATCTTTAAAAAATAAAAACGTTGCGTAGAAAAAAATGCATCCTTACTACTTGCCTAAAAATTTACTCTTTTTTAACAAGCTTTATTGAGATACAGTTCACATAGCATACAATTCACTGACTTAAAGTTACAGTGATGTGGCTTTTAGTATGTTCATAGATGTGCACAACCATTACCACAGTCAGTTTTAGTACATTTGCATCACCTCAGAAAGAAACTCAGTACCCTTTAGTTATCATTCCTTATCCTTCATCTCCCCAACTCCTGATAATCAAAATCTACTTTCTGTCTATAGATTTCCCTATTATGTACATTTCATAGAATGAAATCATATAACAGGTGATCTTTTGTAACTGGTTTCTTTCATTTAGCATGTTTTCAAGGTTCATGTTATAGCATGTGTCAGAATTTCATTCCTTTTTTTGATATACCACATTTGTCAGTACATGGACATTTGGGTTATTTCCACCTTTTGGCTACTATGAATACTGCTGTGAACGTTTGGATACAGGTTTTAATTTCTCTTGGTTATGTACCTATGAGTGGAATTGCCGGGTCATATGCTAACTATATTTAATCATTTGAGGAATTGCCTTGTTCTTTATTCTGTTGATAATGGTGACATTGATTGATTTTTGGCTGTGAAACTAGCCTTACATTCCTAGGATAAAACCCACTTGATCATGGCATATAGTTCTTTTTATATGTTGATGGATTTAGTTTGCTAGTAATTATTGGGAATGTTTGCACCCATATTCATAAAAAATACAGGTCTATAATTTTCTTGTGATGTCTTTGTCTGGTTTTGGTTCCAGAGTACTACTGGCCTCATAAAATGAGTTAGGAACTGTTCCTTCTTCTTCTGGGTTTTTTGTTGGTTGACTTTTTGGGAAGAGTTTGTGAAGAATTGGTATTAATTCTTATTTAAATGTTTGGTAGATCTCACCTGTGAAGCTGCCTAGGCTTTTCGTTGTGTATAGCTTTTTGATTCCTAAATTGTCTTATTTTTAAGTCCATTTTGGTAGTTTTGTTTATTTCATATGTTATCAAATTTGTTGTCATGCAGTTCATAGTATTCCTTTATAGTGCTTTTTATTTTTTCATTTCTGATTCTAGTTATTTGGGTCTTCCTTCTTTTTTCTTGGTCAGTTTAGTTTAGCAAAAGTTTTATCAATTTTGTTGATCTTTTCCAAGAACCAGCTTTTGGTTTCAGTGATTTTCTCTCTTGTTTTTTTCTCCATTTCATTACTTTTCACACTAGTCTTTATTATTTCCTTCCTTCTGCTTATTTTATGTCTAGTTTGCTCTATTTTTTCCAATGTCTTGAGTTGGAAAGTTAGGTTACCTTTCTTCTTTATTAATTAGCTATGAATTTTCCTTTAAGAACTGTTTTAGTTACATCTCCTAAGATTTGTATGTTACACCTTCATTTTCATTCATCTCAAAGTATTTTCTCTTTGACCTCTTGGTTATTTGAGAGTATGTTATTTACTTCCCATATATTTGTTAAGTTTTCATATTTTATTTTATGTTCTTGATTTCTTTTTCTTTTCTTTAAGTAGGCTGCATACCCAGCTTGGAGCCCAATGTGGGGCTTGAACTCACAACCCTGAGATGAAGACCTGAGCTGAGTTGGACATTTAACTGACTGAGCCACCCAGATTCTCCTGTTCTTGATTTCTAATTTCACCCCATGTGGTTGGAGAATATACTTTTATTATTTCTCTCCTTTTAAATCTGTTGAAGTTTGTTTTATGGCCTAGCATGTGGTCTGTCTTTGAGAATGTTCTGTTTGTACTTGAGGAGAATGTAGATTCTGTTGTTGTTAGGTCCTGTGTTCAGTAGATGTCTGTTAGGTCTGGTTGGTTCATAGTGTTTTTCAAGTCTTCTATTTCCTTGTTGATCTGCCTAGTTGTCCTATTCGTTATTGACAATGGGGTATCAAAGTCTCCAGCTGTTACTGTTGAGTTGTCCATTCCCTTCATCTCTGTTGGTTTTTGTTCTTTTGAGCCCCTTCTACTGAATTTTGCATTTCAGTTATTGTGCTTTTCAACTCCAGAATTTCCATCTGGTTCTTGTTGTTAATTTTTTTTTTTTTTAAGATTTATTTATTTATTTTAGGGAGAGAGGGAGAGCATGGGGGTAGGGGTAGAGGGAGAGAGAGTGAGAGAAACAGACTCCCCGCTGAGTGCGAAGCCCTACAACGTGGGGCTCTGTCTCATGAACCTGAGCCGAATCAAGTCAGATGCTTAATGGACTGAGCCACCCAGGTGCCCCTCTTGTTAATATTTTTTATCTCTTTATTGATATTCTTTATTCAATGCAACATTGTTATACCTTCATTTCTTTAATTATGGTTTCCTTAGTTCTTTGAACATACTTATAAAAGTTACTTTGACTTTTTTTCTGTTAAATCCAACATCTAGTCACTCATGGGTAGATTCTATTTCCTGCTTTTCTCCCTGTGGATAGAGCATATTTCTGTTTCTTTGTATGTCTCTTAATTTTTTGTACATTTTAGACAATATATTGCAACAACTCTGGGTACTGCCCTTGCCTTCTCCCTCCCCCCACCCCAGCCTTTAGTTTAGCCTGCATCTTCATAGAATCTAAGAACTTCCTCTCAATTACCTCTCACCACAGTCTCCACGGATTTTAAGAGCACCCTTTGGGCTTGGACGTTTCCAGCTCTGTTGCAAATGAAGTCAGTTCATTTGGGAAGAGATTAGGAGCTATCTGTTTTATGGCCTACTTTTCTTCCTGGGCAAAACCTCTTAGCCAGAGCTCTGAAGTTGGGGCTAGGGAAAGTGTTGCATTCCTGAGTGACTGCCCTACTTTAGGAGCTGAGTGCTTGGTGAAGGTGGGGAACCCTTAGATCTTTTTGGCTTTTTTCACTGCCTCATGAACAGAGGCTGTCAGTGCCCCGGGATTCTCAGTGGCACCATGCCCATGGTAAAGCCTCCATTCCATAAACGGGCTGACAGAAGAAGGGAGCTCCCACCTGTCAGCTGCACTCACCTGAAACTTAGGCTCAGTAATAGGTGGCTTGTGGGCAAGATCAGAAATGCTGATTGATGTTCTGTCATGCAGTATTTGTCTTTCTGTGACTGGCTTATTTTACTAGCATAATGTCTTCAAGGTTCATCTATGTTGTTGTATATGGTAGGATTCCCTTCTTTTTTTAAGGCTGATTTTCCATTATATATATTATCACATTTTCTTTATCCATTCATTCATCAGTGGACATTTAGGCTGTTTCTACTTCTTGGCTATTAGGAAGAATGCTACAGTGAAGATGGGAGTGGAAATATCTCTTTGAGGTCCTGATTTCAGTCCTTTTGGTTAAATACCAGTATTGTAAATGGGGAAAACAGCAGGTTAGAGAAAGCACAACAATGTTGTAAAAACATACGTGCTCAGGGCGCCTGGGTGGCTCAGATGGTTGGGCGTCTGCCTTCGGCTCGGGTCATGATCCTGGGGTCCTGGGATCGAGTCCCATATCGGGCTCCCTGCTCAGTGGGGAGCCTGCCTCTCCCTCTGCCTCTGCGTCTCTCTCTCTCTCTGTCTCTCATGAATAATTAAATAAAATATTAAAAAAAAACCAAACATATGTGCTCAGGAAAAGACTGGGAAAATATACTAAAATATTAGTGATAATTATCTACAGGTGGTGGAAAAATGGGTGACTTAGATTTTCTTTATACTTTGCTCCATTTTCTAAGTGTTCTATAAAAAATAAGCATTACTTTTGTAATCTAAAATAAGATGTTTGGGGGGCCTGGGTGGCTCAGTCATTAAGCGTCTGCCTTCGGCTCGGGTCATGATCCCAGAGTACTGGCATCGAGCCCCGCATTGGGCTCCCTGCTCAGCGGGAAGCCTGCTTCTCCCTCTCCCACCCCCTCTGCTTGTGTTCCCTCTCTCACTGTGTCTCTCTCTGTCAAATAAATAAATAAAATCTTTTAAAAAATGTTTAAAAACAAAAAAAGATAGCAAGTCTGAATAGTTCTTATTAAGGAAGAGGTGGGTACTCAATTATTCAGGAAGAGATGGATACTTAAATTTTTGGAGAAAAAAATGAATCAGCTTGAGTTTGCACCATAAACTGGAAGTCTTGAAGACCAAGATCTGGCCCATTTGTCTTATTCCTGGGGTGGTGGTGGTGGTAGTGTTGCTGGCAGTGGTGGCAAGGTTCCAGTGTAGGCTCTTGAGTCATCTGTCCTTTTGATTCAGTAAGATCAGTGTCTAAACAAGAGCCCCATACGTTCATTCTGTGTAATTGTGTGTGATAGTGATAGACGTTTTTCAGGGATCCTTATCTAATTCCTCAGCCCTGGAGCAGGTTTGACTCTTTGGTAGTCAGTCACTGCATGGATATTAGCAATTGTTCCCTCTAGAAACAACCCCAGGAGAATTGGTCCACTGGGAAATATATGCTTTCCTTCAAAAACCTTCTTAATCCTTTTCTTAGTAGTTTCTTGGCCCTGTTGTTATCATGTGTTTTAGAGACTGGTTCCGTTCCCTGTATTACTGCACTGTCCCATTTACTATAAAAACTGTAAGGTGAACACTAAGATGAGAGCATCTTAAACAGAGTCCCTAAAATAACCCTTACCCCCACATAAGAGAAATGCTTCCAGCTCTGAATATAGAAGATACAGTAGATTTGATTGAGTCATAAATATACAGTATTTTTTTAGTTGAATGTATTTGTTTGCTTGGACACTCATTCTTGTGTAAATAGAGATAAAAGAGCTAACTCACTTCTGTGTCTTTTCAAGAATATTATCACAGAAATCTGCATACCTGCTTTTCATGAGAAGACTGTTGTGTGTTTCCCCCTTTTCTCTTTAGCCCATCTACCTAGACTTACAGATATTCTTGTGTTTGTTGTTTTAATACCTTATAATCATGAATATATATCTTAGCTAAGAAGATTATGTATAATTTCATTGTTTTTCTCCTTCCTGGGAACAATATTAAAATAATATCAATAATAATTATTGTTATTTGAGTGATTGTTCTATACTATACTTTCTTTTGGTAAACAGAAATATTAGTACAATGAAGCATGCTTATATTACTGATTTCATCCACAGAAGCAAACTGTTGTCTGTGTGGCAAGCTTCACAGAAGTGTTCTATGGGAATGACAGCACCAAGATTAACAATGGAATTGTGCAGTGTAGGTTGCCTTCTGCCATTGGTCCTACTTTACTGAATATACACTGAGCTTGTCTTGGATTGTATGGTCTAGGCCCTTCTTAATCCTTTTTTTTTAAGATTTTATTTATTTGTCAGAGAGAGAGAGAGAGCAAGCACAAGTAGGCAGAAGCAGCCCTGCAGATGGAGAGGGAGAAGCAGGCTCCCCGCCAAGAAGGGAGCCCGATGCGGGACTCGATCCCAGGACCCCAGGATCATGACCTGAGCCGAAGGCAGACACTTAACCGACTGAGTCACACAGGCGCCCCTAGGCCCTTCTTAATCCTTAAAGAAACAAAAGAGCTCACATTGCCACTTACTGGTCACTTATTTTCCCGTCATTGAAAGTTCATTTGATGTGCTCTTACTTATCCTGTTTACTTTCTCTGAATGTTAATGTCCTTACTGTACTGTAAGTATGTTGTGCTGTATGATTTCTTAAGGTCCCTTTGTATTTACTGCTTTCTATCTCTGATGTTGTGCTTATGAACAATGAAGACAAAAAAAGCAGCAGGACAGGAGCAGAGGCTCTAGACTGTCAATTCAAAAATAAGACTATGACTTACCAACTCCATTTTAGTGGCTGCTACTTTCTTCGGTTATTCCACGGGCTTAGGGTGGTGGTAGTTATATGGGTAAATATAAAATGTCTTTGTAGAATTCTGTCTGTAAAACTTTTAAATGTTTAATTGGATTGTAGTCTGTAGTACTATCTATACAATATTTTATGTGCCAACCAAATATTTGATTACTTCATTCTGGCCTAAATATACAGAATGGGTTTAGGTATGAAGATTGCTAACCTGACTTCTTGTTGCAGACAAAACTCACCTGGGGCCCCTACTTATGGTTTTACATGCTTCGAGCTGCCACATCAACCCTTTCAGGTATTACTTTTTCTGTTTGAGTATTGTATAACTACTATAATATGCTCCAAGAACAAGAACTTTACCAAATGGGGTGTTTCCAAAGTGAAGGAGAAACAGTAGGGAGTTAATCACTCTGTTCTCAGCAGCTAGCTAGCATTGGAAGATATTAATCTAACTTGTACTTCACTTTAAAACATTCTTCAGTTTCAAATTGTGGGTTTTTTTTAAAGAACTGAAAAATGGCTTTATTAATTTATTTTATATTAATTTTTATGTTTTTGAACCTTCTGTGTTAGCAACTATTTTGCTATTTTGTTATAAGGTTTCCTACTGATACTGTTCTTACTCTGACTATTCTAGAGCCTGTATTATATAATTAATTTATTTTTAATTTCATTAATATTTCATATCTTAAGTTGAGCTATAACGAAGTCAGATTTGAAGGAAATGAATTATCAGCTTAGGACTTAATCATGCTGACTTTAAATATAGGTTTTAAATTATAAAGCTTTCCTCTGTTTCCAATTTTAACTCCCTGATAGCTTCTATCATTTTTTGCTTTTTATTAGAAGTAATCTTGAATAGTAATTCATTCCAGAAACATTTACTGAGCACTCAATATTACTAGACAGTGTGGTATAAGGAAAAGCTTTACTTTCAGACCTGGATTACATTTTGGATCCTTCATCAGCCTCTCTGAGTCTAACCTTTCACAGTGCCTGGCATGTGGCAGGCACTCAGGGAATGTTATAGTGCAAGCCATTACTCCCCCATAGCCTAATGATGTCCCAACCCTCTAAGAGTATCTGTTTTTCTTGAAAAATAGACATGTAATAGATAATTATAATACATGATGATACATGTATAATTGGAGGTATGAGCAGAGTGTTGTTGGGAACCCAGAAGGAGCCACTAGTGCCTCTTGAGGAAATCAAGGAAGATACACAGAAGAGATGTATTGAGTGTTCATAATCTTTTGTATTCTTACATTGCTTTGCACATAGAAGGTGCTCAAGAAATGTTTATGGAATTATATAAGCCATTTAACTTTTGTGTGTTTTTGTTTGTTTTTTGCCATTTAACTTTTGTATCTTTAGTGTGCGACTTTCTTGGAGAGAAGATTGCCTCTGTTTTGGGCATCAGCACCCCAAAATACCAATATGCCATTGATGAGTATTACCGGATGAAAAAGGAGGTGTGTCTCCTTTTTACATTTTTTTTGATTCAGTTTGGTTTACTGTGGACTTCATGGGTTGTGTAATGAGCATATATATCCTCTCTAGCCACCCAAAAGAGAGCTCCCTTAGGGTAGGCATTTCATTCTAGAGTTATTAATTAATCAAGTTAGATACTTTTAATTTATATACTTATTTTTTAACATTGAAATTTCCCTAGGATCTTTATGTGAGACTAAGCTAGATTTCATTGTGCTGGTGTTATGTGAGGTGCCTTATAGATGTTATCTTATTTAATCTTCATACCTCTCTCTTTGGATTATTATTCCAGTTTTCAGATGAGGAAATAAGACAGTCTCTGTACTTAGAACCTGTAGACTGTAGTAGGAGAAGTGAAGCACAGAAAATTATAAGTACTAGAAATGTGTAAGTGCCAGGTGTTAAGGCACAAAGAGGTGAGGCAATTTTGTCTGCAAATGTAGTGAGGTCTTAGGGTCGGGGTGAAATGAGTTTAGCCTCAAGGAATGAAAAAGTTTAGCTCTTAAGAGCATAGGCTGAAGAACCAAAGGGTCCGAATTCAAATTCTGACTCTGCCACTTCTAACTTTGCAACCGTTGGGCAAGGTACTTAACCTTTGTAAGCCTCAGTTTCTTCATCTTTATAATGAGGAAAAATGTGGCATCTATGTTCAGGGTTGCTCTGAGGATTAAATGAGTTGATATATAAAATGCTTAGAACAGCACCCAGTGTATATTGGCGAGCATGAAATAAATATTAAAATCTTCTATTATTCTTCAAGCAAATGGAGGGGGAATTCGGCTAAAGCTAGAATGTGGAGGCGTGAGGCTAAGTTGTGTATTTGGAAACAGTGGCAGGAATGGTGCTTTGTCACTGGAGCAGAGTGCAATGGGAGAGTGGCTGGACACGAATCTGGAAAAAGCAGCTGACTTCATATTTGTTACATGGTTTCAAAAATGGTTTTTGAACAGATGAGTGTTTTTAACACTTCCAGCCATGTTTAGAGCCTCATTACCTAATCTGGACCATTGTAAACGACTCCTCAGTGTCTCTCTTGTTTTCTCTCAAGCAAGCTCTAAATTAATCTTCTTGACAGGTTACTTACTGTAACCTGTACTGTAAGTCTGTACTACAAACTACCCATACTGCATTGAACCAATACAATTGCCACTTCCTCCATGAATTTAGTAGTTCTGGCACTAGAAATTATCTGTATACTAGCTGCTTAGGGGAACAATAACCATGTTATACCATTTAGTGAATAGGCCACCCCATTTAGCTGAATAGGCTGATACCCTATAATTGAAGTGATACAGTATTTAGCTATTTTTTATTTAGATTAGAATCGATCTGAAAAGATACAGCCTTTGTCAAAGTTAATTCAGGACTCATCTAAGCAGTGCTGTACCATGCTTTAAAAATAACTTCCCTTTCTTTAAAATGTCATATGATAGTTTCCATATTAGTTTGGGAACAGGGGACAAGGAGGTATGTCTTGTCTTAATTAGACCAAACTGAATTGGACATGACACTAATGTTTTAGTTCAGAAAAAAAAAAAAAAGGCACAAGCAGTTGAAAGTGGGAAACAAATACTATTCCTTTTGGGCATTTATATTTCATCTATTCTTGATTATTTCCTCTTTTTAGGAAGAAGAAGAAGAAGAAGAAAACAGGATGCCTGAAGAAGCAGAAAGACAATACCAGCAGAATAAACTGCAGGCTGATTCCATTGTCCAGAGGGATCAACCAGAAACAGTGGTATCCAGTTCATTTGTGAATCTCAATTTTGAAATGGAGGGAGACTGTGAAGTAATTATGGAAAGCAAACAAAATCCAGTCTCTGTCCCACCATAGAATGACTATCAAACTTCAAACTCTAGGGTTTTTATAATACCAGGAACTTTCACATTCTTTATTCAGTGGGACTTAATACAATTATTTATATTTTAAATTATTATCTGGAAAGGGAAAAATGTTTCTTCATTCTTAGGCTCTAGCTAGCAAAAGCCAGATCTGAAATTTGATATTTGTACTATGCTTTTACTGTGTGTCACAATAGTGCTTTGGTTTTAAAATGTTCTTTAAAGAAATTAAGGACATTCTAGAGCCCTAATTGCCAATTAAGCGTTAAATTATCAAGCTTGTCTGTTATTGGTGTTTGTAAGAAAAAAATAGTTAAATTACTAAGACTAATTGGAGCTGATCTTCCTAGTCTTAGTTTAAATTAGGATTTCCCCCCATTAGATTTTCTCATGTTGTCTTACATTTATATATCTAACCATTACATTAATTTCATACTAAGGATGGTTCACTGAGTGTGTAATAAAAGGAGCAAGACAAAAGCACTTTGATTTTTCTTTCCTTTAGAATATTTTATGAAAAGCTGATTAAGTTTATAACAACACCAAGTCTAAGATGGATTTCCATTTTTTAATGCAGGTTACTTAATCTTACATTCTTTTTCAGCAGTTACTCAAATAACTAGCTTTGAACATAACGTTAAAAACACTAGTTATGGGATGTATTTATTAATGTATTTGTATTCAAGTGGTAACATCTAGTGATTATCCACATGGCATCCTGGTTTTGTCACTCAGTAGACCCTGAGTGTTTCCTGTGGGCCAAGTAATTGGAGGGAGGAGGGTGGGGTGAGGGACAGATGAAGACTTGACCCTTCAGAGGCTTACTGTTGAATATTGTACAAGGTGCCACAGTAGCATAGTGAAGTCACCAGTCATTCTCTTCTTTGAAGTTAACAACAGTAAAGTGGACAGTTTACTTAACCCGGGTTTGGTCAGCTCTCTAGAGCCCACTGTGCTATTGGCAACACTTACCGAAGTATAATATGAAACTAATTTTGTAAATTTTCATAAATATGTGCTCATAATCTTATGAGAGATCTGTGTGATTTTGATTTATAACTAAATGTGGGTAAGGAAGAATGTATGGAGTATTTCAGAAATGCTGCTCTTAAAAGCCTATTCACAGACTTAAGAGCTTTCACAGATTAATCGTTGTTCTAAACAGCATTAAGCTGTCAATCTTAAATATTTTTATATAAAATATGGCTTCAAAGAAACCATAGGTACAGCGGAGCTATTATGGAAATCTGTTGTCAGTATGAACATCTGGCCACTAAGTTCTTCAAATGAAATTTGAAGGATTTGGAAAAGATAATTTTTCACTTGGAATCTTCAGTTACATGGATTTGTGGCATGGTAGTTAGGCATGGTATGTGATGGTAATTTTTGGTCATGGTTGTAAACTCTTTAATTTAGTACTTAAAGGATTAATCTTCAGATCATGTAATTAATGTCACCCTAAATTATAGTTTACCAGTAGCTCTAAAACATGCTAACCCGACCTCTTCCCTCTAATTTGTTTTTAACTTCATTTGAGATAGGACCTTCAACTCAGATATTTATTGGGTTTTCCAGGGAAGGCGTGCATATCTAATGATGATCTGAATCTTTTCTCCCTAGAGGCACTAGATCTGAAAGCTTACCTAGAAACTTTTCTGATTGTAGAAGGAAGATTATGAAAGTTTTGTTTCTTAAATTTTACTTTCTCTAATTGTCCAACAGTGGCCAGTTTGTAATGTTTATATAGTTATTCACTGTGCCTTAAATCTTTATACTTTATTTATGCAAACTATAAAATTTCCCAGAAATGAATTAAATGGTTTTGTCTTATTTTTAAGCCTCTTTTACTTTTCCTTCCTTTTCGACCCTTTTTATAATTACTATTCCCCCTGGATCATAGTTCATGATACTTTACCCTCTTCTAATCTTTCTTATAAAAAACCGAAACAGAACAGTATAATTTGAGAACCTTTACACTGAATTAACCTCTAACAAAAATCCTTAACAAAATGGAGTTGAATTTTATAAAATGTGACCCTGGTACCAGTTAATAAAAGCTAGATTTTTTTTATATCAGTAATTTTAATTAAAGTGAAATAGTAACTTGAATACTTTTTACTGAAACATCCTATAAAAAGAAACATCATCTCCAAACACTTCTAACCCAGAAATGAAATGGCTCTATTCTAATGAATGGGAATTTTATAATCTATGATACAGATAATACTTTAGAAGACTCAAGGTTAAATGACCACATATAAACTACCCCTCAAATATTTAAATTCTTAATGTCTAATGTCAAAAATATCCCATGAAAACTTCATTTCTAAAGATTATACAGGGGCGCCTGGGTGGCTCAGTTGGTTAAGCGACTGCCTTCGGCTCAGGTCATGATCTTGGAGTCCCGGGATCGAGTCCCACATCGGGCTTCCTGCTCGGCAGGGGGTCTGCTTCTCCCTCTGACCCTCTTCCCTCTCATGCTCTCTACCTCTCATTCTCTCTCTCTCAAATAAAAAAAAAAAAAAAAAGATTATACAGATTTAAAGTGGACTCCTACCTTTACCAGATCACACTTCCCATATTTGAGCTAAGTGGAACAAGAATTTAATATCTCCTCAAACAACATTTGGTCCTACTGCTTCCAAACTACTGCAACCAAGATTCCAATAATCAGACATTTGCTGTATTCTATAGGCATATAAAGTGTTTTATTTAGGCTGTTTCTAAGGATTGTGCTTGAAAGGTTTTGCGTGCAGCATTCAAGCTTATCTTAATGAACACAGTCTAGTCTTTGAGAGATCATGTATCGTCAAGGTCTGCAGAGTTTTCATTGTCATTTGCAACAAGAGCTTCTCTGTTCTCATAAGTCCAGAAGCCATTCAGATCGATGAGAATGGTGGTGACTGTGTCTCCTTGATTACTGTTGATTAAATCCTGAAGAGAGATTTTCAAAGGATCCTTTGGTTTAACCATGTCAAAGATTTCATCCTGCGAGAGAGAAAAACACAATGAAATCTGGGATCTGATCCACTAAATTTCTATTATACAGTGCTGTGAAATTCAAGGCTGGCACTTGAGCTTATGTAAAATTTTTGTTCTAGTTTTTTCTTTTCCAGTTCACACACAGGCAACCTCCTTTTGTCTATGTACAATCATAGAACTTTACTGGAAGATTCCTTAGGTATGTGATAGCTATCCCTCATCTTTTTTTTTTTAAGATTTTATTTATTATTTTGACAGAGCGGGGGTGGGGAGGAGAGCACAAGCAGGGGGAGCAGCAGGCAGAGGGAGCAGGAGAAGCAGACTCCCTATGGAGCAGGAAGCCGGACACGGAACTTGATCCTAGGATCCTGGGATCATGTGACCTGAGCCGAAGGCAGATGCCTAAGTGACTGAGCCACCCAGGCGCCCCACTCTCCCTCATCTTAAAAGAGAAAGAAACTGAGGCTCAGAGTTTAATCCAAACTACATAGCTGGTTAGTGGCAAAACTAATGTAGTATTCTTTGAATACGTGTTAAGTATCTTAAACTTTTCTATTGTCTTCTAATTGGTGGTAATGTAAGGTCTTGCTTTAAGTGCAAACTCAGCTCCAACTAAAAACATACATGCTTCCAAAGCCAAGATAATGACAAAGCTTCATTTCCAATATAGATGTCAACCTTTTATATTCTGGATCTAAGATGGGTGGTGGGTGGGGGAGGTTCAGTTTTAAAGAATTAGTCATCCAGAATGACAATGAAATTGTGCTAAAATTTACTAGAATAGATGGAAATACTTCTATATTATGAGGTACACCGTATGAGTATTTACAAGGAATTAGATACATGTTTTCTAATCTTTTTGTAGTAAAGTTACTCAGAGGATCCAGTGGCATTTAAGGAGGCAAATTACATTTTTAAAAGATTAGAACAATTCAGGGTGCCTGAGAGGCTCAATTGGTTGGGCATCCGACTTGATTTCAGCTCAGGTCATGATCTCAGGGTTGTAAGCTCGAGCTGCGTGCTTGGTGCAGTCTGCTTGTCCCTCTCCCTCCCCCTGCTTGTGTACGCATGCTCTCTTGATAAATAAATAAAATCTTTAAGGGTGCCTGGGTGGCTCAGTTGGTTAAGCATCTGTCTGCCTTCAGCTCAGGTCATGATCCCAGGGCCCCGGGATAGAGTCCCGCGTCAGGCTCCCTGCTCCACAGGGAGTCTGCTTTTCCCTCTGCCCCTCCTCCCACTCGTTCTCTCAATCTCTCTCTCTCAAATAATAAATAAAATCTTTAAAAAAAAGATTAAAACAATTCAGGTAAATGAAATGTACGAGCTTTTAATCTTGTATGTTTATGAAACTTCCTTTTCTAGGTTAGTGGCAACTTAAAATTACTAGTTCTTAGGTTGCCTGTTGAATAGTTTCAGATTTGTCTCATTTATATTAAACCAAAATAGCCCTTTATCTTACACTTAATTAAAATTGGATGGGTTCTTTCATTACATTACTTAAACTGAACCTGAATCTGTACTAGGTACTATAGGTTTTTCACAGCTGGTGACTGCAAAATGAAGCATTAGCATGTGTTTCAAATAGTGCTAGTTTTCATATTGTAGGATTGATGGCTCCTTAATAATACAAAACCAAGTAAGACCTTTGAAGGAGTAGATTTAAAAAGTGCCCAAACCTAAATACAGTTGACCCTTGAACAACACAGGTCTGAAACGAATGAGTCCACTTAGACATGGATATTTTTGATAAATACAGTATACTGTAAATGCATTTCCTTTTCTGATGACTTTCTCAGTCACGTTTTTTCTCTAGCTCCATTTTTAAGAATATAGTATGTAAAACATATATAAAATATGTGTTCGCTATGTTACTGTTTATGTTGAGGCTTCCAGTCAACAGTAGGCTATGAGTAGTTAAGTTTTTGGGGGAGTCAAAAGTTCTACATGGATTTTCAATTGCATGGGGGAGGGGCATTGCCCCTAACTCCTGTGTTGTTCAAGGGTCAATTGTAGTTACCAAGATTAAAAATTCATTTTACACTGGAATGGCTGCCAAAGGACTGCAGGCTATATTGATTCTCTTCATTTTCAATCAAAGTGAATGAATGCTTCCAATGAAAATACAATCTGACAATGCTAAAATCATAAACTATACAAATTATTAGTCCAAGTGTGGTCTCAATGGGTTCAGAATAAATAACAGCAAATACTTGATTCGGTTCAGTACTTCATAGTCATGTTTCTTTCATACAAAATGTCACTTAATATAGATGATTATCTGGTATTATGTATATTATTTTTTTAAAGATTTATCTTTTTTTTTTTTTAAAGATTTTATTTATTTACTTGACAGAGAGAGATGGAGTGGGAGAGGGAGAGGCAGCCTTCCCGCGGAGCGGGGAGCCCGATGCGGGGCTCGATCCCAGGACACTGGGATCATGACCTGAGCCGAAGGCAGACACCCAACGACTGAGCCACCCAGGCGCCCCTAAAGATTT